AGCAAACAGTTGTGTTTCAGCGTAGATTTGTTCAGCGCCCTGCGCATTTAATATTTTCCTTAGTAAACTTAATAAGCCAATCGATGAAATTTTGTTTAAGATGTTTATGATTTTCAGGTAACCATGTTCTTGGAATAATAAAGCTTGCTTTAATCATTAATGTATTTTGATATGCTGAACAATATTATGGGTTGTTAAAGGCTGAATTCCTATTTCCTGGGGATTATGCGTAAAGAGCAAACACGTTACGGTTCCCTTTTTTCAGAATGTCTGTATGTGTTAAATATTTCACATTTTTTTTTTTGAATTCGACTATATCTTGTGATGCGCTAATTTAACCGATAAATAAACCTGCTGCCACTCTTAACTCACTGATTTTTCTTTTTTTTTTTTTCCGGGTCCTCATGAACAGTGCCACAGTTTTTGGAGTTTCTACTCAATCAATGCAGCTATCTTATGACCTCAGAGGCAATAGCATTCCGACTATTCTCTTACTTATGCAGAGGCATTTGTACTGCCAAGGTGGCCTTCAGGTGGATCTCTCTCTCTCTCTCTCTCTCTCTCTCTCTCTCTCTCTCTATGGGTTTGTTTTCTGATACATTGTATTACTCTATATTTATTTGTGTAGGCTGAAGGGATTTTCAGAATAACAGCAGGAAACAGCCAGGAGGAGTTTGTGCGGGACCAACTGAACAGAGGAGTGGTTCCTGAAGGCATTGATGTCCACTGTTTAGCCGGCCTAATAAAGGTAAACAGAATTTCGAGCAAAATGTTTTCGAACTGTACTTAACTGAACTCTTTGTGTGATGCTTAAATGACATGACCTTTCAGATAACTGCATTTGTACTTGGTAAATTCATTATAAAAAAAAAAAAAAAAAAAAGGCGATCGAGGGGCCACCTGTAGGGAAAATTTGTTTTCAATATATGAATTTTTGTTGAAAAAGTAAATTTTTTTGTAGGCTTGGTTTAGAGAGCTGCCAAGGGGGGTGCTCGACTCCCTGTCGGCCGAGCAGGTTATGCAGTGCTCGTCAGAGGAGGATTGTGAAGCCCTCGTGGGGCTTCTGCCTCCAACCGAGGCAGCTCTGCTCGATTGGGCTGTCAACCTCATGGCTGATGTGGTCCAGGAGGAGCACCTCAACAAGATGAACGCTCGAAACATAGCTATGGTCTTCGCCCCCAACATGACCCAGGTGAATGCATCCACACATACAAACATACATGCTTCTTTTTTAACAACTCTGGATTCCACCTTTTTGTTGGCTAAACCTCTAATGTACTGTGTATTTCATGTTTTGTCCAGATGGTGGACCCACTCACTGCATTGATGCATGCTGTCCAAGTAATGAACTTCCTCAAGACCCTAATCGAGAAAACCCTACGCGAAAGAGAGGATTCCATCAAAGACCCACCGATCTCCATCACGGAGGAGCCTTCTGATGACAATGGCAACCACCACAACTTATTTCCCCAACTTCATCAACAAAATCCAGACGAGACGAATGACGATTCTACTCACCCCTATTTAGTGGAGGATCCATGCTCCGATTTCGAGTCCGAAACCAAGCAGTTTATTAACAGCACTGATGAGGATTGCTGCTATCTTAGTTACTCGACTTCTAGTGAGGAATCTGACGAGAGTGTCTCGTGTGGGACCTCCCCGGGTCAAGCTAACACTGTCAGATTGTCCGTTCAAACGAAACCCGAATTGAAAACTGATGGCGATTTAGGTAGTTCGAAAATTGATCACGTGGGAAAGGGAGTTAGCAACCTGAGTCGTATAAATTCGAGGACCGAAAGGTGCGAGGCCTGGCGCTGAGTGGAGGTTTTATGTTTGTGATGTCACACTTTTTACACCTCTGGCTGAGGTGAAACTTGTGTGCATCTGTTGTTTCTTTCTTTCTGTTAACCTGGTTGATCTTTATCTGTCAAAGGTGTTGTTTCCATGTAAGGATTGTTTGGGAGAAAAGACATGAGGATAAGTGGATATTTGGGATGTTTTGAGAGTTGTTTTTTTCTTGATTGTATGTTTTTATTATTATTATTATTATTATTATTATTATTATTATTATTATTATTATTATTATTATTATTATTATTATTATTATTATATGCATAATTGTTAATCATTAACATAATTAAATCTAGGAAAAGTTATATGCACAGTTATCTACAAACATAAGTAAGGCATTATAAAAAAAAAATAAAAAAAAAAAGTATTGTCTACGTAATAGTTTATGAAGTTACCGTTGTAAATCTTTGGTGATATCAAATTACTAATTGCAATAAACGGTGTCTCTTCAACCATATACAATATGTTCACTATAAGAAAAACTGCATTTGGCGACGCTTACTTTTTTGTTTACTGACGCTTATTTTTTTCTGACATCAAATTTAGCAACACAACTCGCTAATAAGCGTCGCCAAATGCAGTTTTTCTTGTAGTGGTTGGATCCTTCATTTTGAGGCATGTCATCCCATAAAGGTACTATAACAAATCGATAACTATAAAATACAAATGCAATCAGTTCAAACCATTATTAATAATTTTGTAAATTATAAATATTGTATGTTGGAAGAATATTTAGGCAAGTTTCTCTATTATATATTTATTTTAGAACTCTATAGTTTAATAATAATATTTATTAAGACATTGTAAACTTGTAAGGAAAGAAAATATGTACTCTTCGTCCATAATGGTTATCTCTTTTATGGTTGTTTTTGTTCTGGTTGCTTTTATGACAGTCCTTGATTCCTTAGTCTTCATTACAATCTCACATATGTCTGGAAAAAAATATCATTGTAGTTTTCTTAATAGAGTGGAGTGCATAAGAATATAATTTTTGTGAATGGTATAGCATATACATACCAATTCTTTCATTCTCATGATTTTTTACATTGATGTTTTCGAACTTGATGAAATTATAGGAATTATTGTGTCCTATATCTTCAGCGACAAGATTTACGAAGATTTTGGTGACGTTTTAAGATATATTTCTCTCTCGATGAATGTCCATTTTTACAAATTTGGGATTGACTTTTCAAACTTCACCATCAGTGATTGAATATGTATTGTTGAGTTGGAATTTGTTGATATATTCATCAGTATCAACATTAAACATTATTATTCTAATTTGGACTCCCTACATAAATAGATATGAATAAAGTAAATCGTAAATCATAATTTTTATCTTAATCTTTAAAATTAGGAGGAGTTAAATTTATTCATCACTTCAGGTGTGATGCATGTAAGTAAAATGAGTTTGCTTTGTGATTATTTCTTTTGGATAATGAAGTCAGTGTTATATAGAGTTGCATTGTTGCGCACAGTATCAATTATAATGCTTTTTATATTTTTTATTTTCCTTTTTTTTACTTAATTATATTTATGGAAAATTTGAAGATATTGTAATAATATATGAAGGTATCAATGCATAAATGTTTGAAAGATAATTAATGTGTCCTAAATTTAAATAAAAGTTAAATAACTTACTATGGAAAGACAAATTGTCTATAAAAATATGAATAATAAGGAAATGAGAGACTAATGTGAATGAATGTTGATTAAGTTCTTCTCCTTTCATCTTCTATTATTTTGTTGATGGGTCACTTTTTTCTGCTTTTGGTTCTTTTTGATGTTTTGTCTCCATCCACATGCATATCAATACGGTTATTTAGAGATTTATTTTGGTCATCTTCATTTCCTCATCATGAGTAGTTTGCGATCTTGCAATTGTCTCTGTCGCCGCATTCAATTCTCCTCTTGCGTTGAACGACTTCTCATTGACAAGAATTAGGAATTGAAATTCAATTGTTGACTGCAAGTTCAACCTTCTGCAATATCCAGATCATGCTTTACCCTAATGAGCATTGAAAAATAAGTCTTTTATAATTATTACACTTGACGATTCATATTACATTGAAGTTAAAAATATATTTCGCATGCTCAATTGATCATCATTAATAGGACATCCAACGCACACCATAGCGACTTCCACAAAATAAAGCTATAGTCGCAGTTTGATTATCACCCACGATGTTTAAGACCAATCTATATATGCGGTGATTGTATATTGTTTTATAAATGTTTTTGTATACATAAAATTATAGACGTGGTGTCGTCGTTCTTCTCAGTTGGATGACTTGGTGTCGTCGTTCTTCTCAGTTGCAGCGACACAATTTTTACACGATTCATCCCACAAAGAAAAAAATAATGATGCTAGTCCCAAATTTAGAGAAGGAAATCAGAAGCCACATGCCAGTTAATTTGCATTAAAACTAAACTAATTTAATAGTTGATTTTTACAAGCTTCAGTGTTTTGTATAGATAAATAGGAATTAGTTAACTAAATGCTTTAATTAGACTAAATCTAATACATATTAATTTAAAGAGTTATTATATAAAAGAGGATGCATATGATAGCTTATTTGCACCAAAATATTGTAATTATTATTATTATCATTACTATTATTTAAATTATTATTAGTATTACCGATTCTTTTCCTTTTGAAATAATAATTTACCTCAAGGATTGGGCCGGCTTTAGAAGAACACCATTTATCTTTGGGTTTAATTACTTGTATAAATTAAAAAAAAAAAAAAATCAATTGATGAAGTAATATATTCACTTAAAAATGGCCTTTGTTCTTCATTACATCAGATGAAGCCAGCTGTAAACTTTGTCTTAACATAAATGTGTTTATTTGATTGAGGCAATGCAATTTTTACTATTAAGCTATAATTGTTACAGATGGATCAAAGTAACAAATGGAGCAATTACTATGTGAAGTAAGCAAATGCAACAAGGCATGCAAATAATACCATACAAAATGGATAAAAATGGATACATAAATTTGAAGCAAGAAAGCCAAGACATGATAATCCTTTCACTAATGTTGAATGGCCTTACTCCATAGCTAAAGTTTGTTTAGAGTAGGTATAGGGGGACTAAATGATATAACTCTACTGGTGAAACCGGAGTCAAGTGTGAGTACGTCGAGAAGAGTCGAATGGAGGCACAGAGGTCTACATTAGATCGATGTCTCGATATAAGCGACCTGTGGAACATGAGATTAATTGAAGACATTCAAACAAGGTCATCGCGACCTACACTTCAATGTCAAGGGTAGCTCGATAGTATGCCCACCAGCGAGAAGGGACCTGCAAGGAGGTAAGCGTGATACCCAAGATTAGACAGAGACCCAACTCAAACTTCTAATAAACGAATAAGAAGAAATATAATGATGACTCAAGTATGATTCGGATGAGCATAAGATCAAACCCCGGACACCGGGGTAAATTGACCGAGAGCAACTCGGGCAGGTACTTTTTCTATAAAAGGGAATTGAGGTACAATTATAAAGCTTCTTTCGCATTCTACACACTATTGATCATTCAATTCTCTATAAATAGCTTTACCTTCTTCCATGTGTTGACTTAATAAGCATCGGAGGTTATTCACCGAAAACACCTTTTGGCGTTGAGTTTTTGTTGGTCTACGCACAATAGTTCATGTGAATCGAAGTCATTCTCAACATGTCCGACCTAGGCCCGGGTACTGACCCATTATTTTCTATGTTTGTATACATGATCTTAAAATTAAATATATTTTTTTTTTATGAATTAAAAAAAATTATATCAAAATTAAATAAGAGTATAATAGGTGTTGTGTACGAGCCCGTCAATATACTTTTCGACTTATATATTATATGTATGATTGAGATTGAAGTTTTATCAACTCAAGGAGGCCGTCAATATACTTTTTTAGCTTGTATATTACATGTATGATTGAGATTAAAGTTTTGATGTGAAATCTATATATATATAATTACTAGCTAATAGTATTTAATAAGACCTATTTAATTTTACCTATGTGGCAATTTAACCATATTCTCTCCAAAAATCGTAACTTGTGATGTATTTAATATTTTATTTAATTATTAAATAATCAACACTAATCCCTTCAAAATTACAAAAAATATTTTAAACTTTTGATTATTGACAGATTGTAAATTTGGCCAGCAAAAAGATGAAAAAATAATTAATCATTCTATGCATACAAATAACTCACAATACTTTATTTACATCTGTGCAATTGCACAGGGTCGAATACTAGTGTGGATAATTATTGCTAGAACATCTCGTTCTATCCGCATTAAGTTTCTCAGTTTTTAATATAATATTTATTTAAAAAAAAAAGCTAACCGTAATATTATTATAGTGCTTTAAATGTGATCCACTCAATTTTATAATACTATCAATTTGCCTTTGGACTTTAATTTTTGGTGGTCAATCTAATTCTCAAGTTGATATTATTTTTTAGAAACACATTTAGTGAAACTAAGTTGACAGGAAATTATCTACTCTAAATCTAAACATAATTTACGATGGGATATTCATGAAGTAGAAGTACAATTAAAAGATTTCAACAAAATATTTTCAACTAAGGCTCATGTGCATATATACAAATCTAAATAAAATATTATAAATTATTATATGTATTAATATTATATTTAAAATCATAAGTTACCTAATAGACATCATTTAAAAATATAATCATTAGTAGAAATGGACAATATAATTATAAATCATTTTACTTATATATGCGTAACTATATAGATTGCATAAAATATATGCATTAGGTAGTACGCGACCAATTAAATAGATAAGAAATATTGAGTTATTATTATTATTATTATTATTATTATTATTATTATTATTATTATTATTATTATTATTATTATTATTATTATTATTTATTATTATTATTATTATTTATTATTATATACAATACGGATGTTAAATTGAAGCTCATCAAA